GCTTAGGCGCTGGCTGTGGAAGTGGTGCCCAGAGCATGGGCGTGGTGGCCAGGGGAGCACAGCAAGGCCAGGCCAAGGGACAGCATCCAGGATGGCCAGGGCTGCCGAGCCAGGACGAGCGCCTACTTTAATGTCAATGCAGATGCCAAGTAAAGATAAGAATGTTTTCTTTTTTAAACATCTTTTTTGGAATATGATTGCTTTACAATGGTGTGTTAGTTTAGAATGTTTTCTTTCTTAGGGGATTACCCTGAATTTAAGACGTCTTTGTGCCAACCCCACCTTTTTGTCTATTCTTCTGCTTCCAACTCTTGTCAGTTTGACCCTCAAGCAGCACCAAAAGTGTAGCAGTAGTCCTAAGCCCTAACTTGTGTAGCTGTTTGTCATTCTGTGTAAGATGTCATCACCAGTTTGTCTGTGGGCACAATGGGGAGAGTTGGCTCAGGAATTGGGAGACCCTGAGGGTAACGTTGGGCTTAACCCCCCTGGGCCTCAGTCTTCCCATCTTTAAAATGGGGTCATCTCCGTGGTTCCTCCCCCCACCCCTGTCTGTGAGGCCAGAGGACAGTCAGCTGTCCCTCGTGTTTAACCAGGCCAGTGTCCACGTCCCCAGAGTGACCTGCCCTCCTGTCCTCTTATCTCACGAAGGTACCCGGAGAGCTCAAGGGGCAGCTCCCAAGTGGGGAGGGCATAACTGGGGTTGACACGCCTGTGGTGGGGGAGGTGACAGGGTGGGTAAGGGGGACGGGGCCGGAAATGGCTATGTCGTAAATGCCACGTCATCCAAGCTGGGCTGTGTCCCACTTGCAGTCAGGGCACCCGCCTCCTGCTCTGCCATCCCTTGATCCTTTCCAATCTTCTGCCCGTCTCGGAAACCTCATATTCCTGACCCAGGCCTGATGCCAGGGGACGAGCTGGGCAGAGGGCAGTGCAGCGTGAGTCAGACAGACAGGAGTGACCCGGGGGGCATCAGACAAGGATGGTGCTTGGAGAAAGGGCAGCTCAGTGACTAGGTAAGATGCCGAAGTCGCTGGCCTTGCAGCTGCACTCGTGTTTTTAAGCAGAGCCCCTCGGTGTGTGGACTGGTGGTCCCCAGCCCTTAGAGAAACCATGTCCAACCTCAGAGACTTTGCTGGACTCCCTAGACACACTCAGCAGCAAATGCTATAAATCGCAGGTTGGCAGACATTTTCTGTAAAGTCCGCACGTGACACGTCCTAGGCGTGGGGGCCGGAGGGTCTCCGTAGCCACCACTCAACCCTGGCGTCGCGGTATGAGAGCAGTTGTGGGCAGGAGGTAAGCGAACTCTGGTGGCTGTGCCCCAGTAAAGCTTTATTGATAAAAACAGGAGTTGTGTGTATGTCCAAAAGAATGGAATGCAGGGTCATAGACTGATACTTGCCTGCGTGCTCAGAGCGGCATGAGTCACAGTAGTCAAAAGGTAGAGGCAACCGAAGTGCCCATCAGTGGATGAACAGATAAACGACCTGTGACTTGTACACACAATGGAATATGATTCAGCCTGAGAAAGGAAGGAAATTCTGACACCTGCTACAGCATGGGTGAACCTCGAGGACATCATGTTAAGGGAAACAAGCCAGTCACAAAAGGGCAAATGATCCTGCTGAGACAGCTAGAGTTGTCAGATTCCCAGAAACAAGAAGCAGATGGTGGGCGCCCGGGGCTGGGAGAGGGGGGAGGGGGAGCTCGTGTTTAACGGGGACAGAGTTTCAGTTTGGGAAGATGAAAAGATTCCGGAGGTGAAGGTGGTGACGGTTACATGACAGAGCGAATGTGCCCAGTGCCCCTGAACTATACGCTTAAACATGGTTACAATCATCAGTGTTATGTCTATTTTACCACAATTTTAAAACTTAGTAAAAAACCAGAACGTAGACCAGATTTGGCCCATAGGCCATCGTCTGCCGGCCACTGCTCTGAATGAGTTAGTACTTGTTAACCACACAGTGTAGCCACAGGCTTCGGGATATTATGTTCATCCAAGCTGCAGAGGGTGCCCAGGCCTCTCACAGTATCTGGATTCCCTCCCGAGCACCTGGGCCCTGTCTTCCTCCTTCCTTCCTTTTCCTACCCTTGCAGTCATTCCAGCGTCAGGCAGCCCTTTCGGTCCCGTGCCCTGTCAGGCCTATGTTTGCCTGACATTCAAATCTTTGGTTTCAAGGAAGGAAGGTGTCTCTCCCCATGCTCTCACACCAGCTTCTGGAGGGGCAGAGGGTGGATGGAGGTGCACAAAATCTCAGGGGGATCTGGAGGGCCGCTTCCAGATTCCTGAATAACCAGTGACCCAACTCCCTCCCCTTTTTTCCTGAGTCAGATTCCAGCTTTTCCTGCAGCTGGGCAGGAGGGGGGCCTTGGCTGGCGTCCCCTTCTGCCCTGCACCTAACCCTAACCCAGACCCTCACCCTCCCCAGATTCTAACCCTAACCCAGACCCTAACCCTCCCCAGATCCTAACCCTAACCCAGACCCTCAGCCTCCATGCTGGGCTGGATATAAGCTTCCAAACAGATGTGGCATTGGCCGTTGCTGCCCTCAGGGGCAGTTGGCTGGGTCAGGACTGTGAGAACCATCTGTTCTTCCCTTGAATTACTCAAAGAGAGTGACTCCCGTCAGCTCAGACCCTCTGAGCCGTTGCTCGGGATGTGGCTGGATAGGGGCAGAGGCAGGGGCCTGGATGGCCTTGGGACTGGCCTTTGAGGAGAGGCTTGGCTGCTCTGAGGCCAGGTGTTGCCCTGAATGGCTTCCAGGGCTACCCTGACATGGGTCTGCTTAGGGTCAGCAGCTCTTCAATTAATCCATCCCCTTGCCAGCAAATTTGATTCAACTCTTAGTTTCTCCATGTCCCTCAGTGGAAATTGACTTGAATGCCTGGAGTTAAAAGACCAAAAGTTGTGAAACATCTCCCAGGGAAGGTAGCAGCTTATAAGCAAACATGCTGATTAAACATTGCTGTAAGTTAAGACTCCATTATTGCTAAATAACAGCTCTGGCTTGTTCTGGGAGGAGCCCTTTGACATACATAACAATTAACTTTGTTGAAGAAGTGAGCAGTTAACTGTAGGAGGAGGAAAAAAAGTGCTTTTGTGCAAAATAGGGCAGAAATAATGAGGTTTATGATGGTAGAGCAGTGTCTTAGGTAGAAGATGAACTGAGAATCATAATTGCAGAAAACTATGTATAGAGCACTTACTACCTGCTGGGCACTCAGCTGGCTCTTTATATATGAAGAGCTGTACCTGACTCTGTACATATATATATAGAGAGAGAGTCTTGAAGCAGCCCTTAAAAGTAGTAGTTAGTTTTCTCACAAGGAAACTAAGACTCATGGAGGGTCTGAAGCCCAGGTCACCCAGCAGGAATGGTTGAGTTGAGGTCTGTCCTGGACCCAGTGAAGGATTGAAGGAGCCTTGGAGAAGAGCCAGAGAGAGAATCCCAGCTCTCAGTACGGCCAGGATTTCTCGAACACCCACTAGGTTCAAGGCACTAAACTAGGCACTGTACAGATGATACCTGCTTACCCTCATGACGATCACGGTATTCACTATTCTGTGCTTGTAAGCGGCGGAAACACCCTGGAGCAAAAGCTTAAGTGAACAAGGACGTTCTTTATTTCAAGGACAAGTGGGTGTCTCTAGAAGCTCAAGAACAGGATGCATCCAGACTGCCAGGCTTTCTGGCACTGAGCGCTGAAGGCTATAGTAAAGTGGGCTCTCTCTGTAGACACTTGCTTGATCTTCTTGTGGAAAGATGTGGAAATGGCCACTCAGAATCTCCACGTCCCTCCAGGTCTCTGCCTGGGCCGGTCCACTCTGCTGGGGATATCTTGTAGCAGGTGCAATGTCTGTGAGTAGAAGGTCTTGGTGAATTGGGTGGACATTAGTCCTACTTAAACAACTGCATGGGGTAAGTAGTTTTATCCCCATTTTACACGTGAGGAGTTGAGATTTGCAGGAGGTGAATCTTGCCTGAGATCACACGATCATTGGCGGTGAAGGGAGTGGGCAGGGCTTGGGTTAGGTCTATCTGACTGGAAACCTAGGCTCATCATCACATCTAGCTGCTCTAGAGGACAGTTCACCCTAAATTCACTCTTTAATCAGACGCTGGAAAAGAAACCAGGATGGTTTAGCCTGAGAAGGGCAGCGTGAGAGTCTATATAGTATTCGGTCAGAAAGCTCTCCTCTTCGGTTAGAAAGCTCTGCTGTCAAGGATGGTGACCAAACAGCTTTTTTCAACAACCAGTGGAAGTTAGAACGAGAAGCAGGTCTTCTGAGAACAGTGTCCTTATGCTCCAGGGTCGTGAGATACAAGAGCAAGTCGGTGCTGCGGGGAGTGGCCAGCGGGAGCAGCCCATCAGAGGGCCACATTCACCGCCCCTCCACGTCCCCTCCAGGCCTCAGGCTGAAATCTGTCCTGACAAACCACTGCTGGCAGAAAACTGGGACACCCTGGGGGCTTGGATGTTCTCAGCTGACCTTTCCGCAATCCCCAAGCAGATGAGGCCGAGTGTTTGCCTTGGCTCCCTTGTCGCACTTGAGAGTGAATGTTCATTCTTAGATATTTTAGTTTACCCATGGGGTGGAAAGGATGGAGTTTGTTTATAAATGAATATTTTGGTGTAGACCCGACTTGACACTAACTTAGCTACTTCAGGGATGCTTGACCCTAAATGAACATTAATTCATGTCTAAAAAACTTGGCCAAGATAATACAAACTTTAAATGATATGACCTCATCGCAAGATTTGGGGAGTGTGTGCTTCATTGGAAAATACTACCTAGTGGTGTTTATCCAAAAGGAGTCTCTGAATCGACCTTCATGTTCACAGACGCTGAGTCTGCCAGAGACTTGAGTGGGGAAGTGTAACGAAGGGTATGTTTCCTTTGGGAGCAGGACGAGCCTCTCAGAGGAAGATGTTTGTGGGATGCAGAATTTTGAAAGACTGTATTGACTGGTGATATCCTGCTTCTTGTTTTGCAGATCGGAAACCTGGAAGACTACTACCACTTTTATCATAGCAAAACCTTTAAAAGATCAACCTTGAGTAGCAGAGGCCCTCACACCTTCCTCAGGATGGACCCCCAGGTACAAATCTCTGCTCCCTGTGCAGGATGCTTTTTTAGGGCCTAGAGTATTGTTTGCTTATTGTTTGGGTCTGTGGCTCTGAAAATGCCTGAGTCTGGATTTTAATGGGATTCTAGATAGCCTTTAGTTTTCCATATCCACTTGGAATAAAACAAGAAAGATGTGCAGCTACATATCAGACCATCTAAAGGCTCCAAATATTCGGGTTCCTTGGGAGACTTGGGAATTTAAATTCTTGACTTCAGTTTGAAGTAACAATCAAATGACTATAGATCTAATATTTTAAATCTTTAAAAATCGACAAAATACACAGTAGTCAGAGGAGATAAATATGTGAATCTTACCCATAAAGGCTATGCAATTCAAGCTAGCGTTTTAATAATGAAATTAGAATTTGGACAAGTGGATGTTTTTGTGATTGTCATACACATATCTTAATGGTTACCGTGAACTTAAAAACCTGGGAAGTAAATATAACTCTTTTTTCCTTAAAAATTCCTGTGATCTCTGAGATGAAAACAAATGTAATTTGAAAAGAGGCTGACATTTTTAGTATAGTTCATATTTATTGGGTGGTTAATTATACTTTCTTTCTGCATAGATTTTAGATTAATATTTGACAAATATCAATCAACACTTGGTAAGATTAAAAATGTCAGATGGTCAAGTGAGCCTTTGATGACTTCATTCATTCACCAGGTGATTTTGGAATACCTGCGATGTGTCACGCTGTGTCCACAGCAGGGCTCTCAGAGTGGATGGTGGGGCTGACAGTCTATAGAAGAATATGTGATATGTCACAGGGCATTGAGCACTATGAGGGACAGTGAAGTTCAAGTGAGAAGCAGTAGCAGCCCCAACAAAGAAATGAGGCCATTGGTAAATCGTAGTTTTAGAACATGGAAATCACCTTCTCTTAAAAGCAATGTGTGAAATGTTCACTTGGGCTCCAAAGCTGGCACGTGTCACTCCTTCAGTGATCCCCAGAGAACGTGGATAATAAAGTTTCCTTGGGAAAATTGGCCTTGGTGTTGTCCCAAGCCACCGCACTGATGATCGTGGATACTTGTGTGTTGGCGGAGCTGGGGGTAGTGGGAGAGACGGTGTATCCCTGAGAACTGTACCTAAAACATTTCTCCAGGACATGACCTTGTGGTGGCCTGGTTTTAAGAACATGAGGAAGTGGTCCCTGTGAAACTAATTCGCGCAGTTGGACTCTGACGAGGTAGACATGTAGTGTATGGTTCTGAGTTCATTTTATAGGTGGGTAGAAGGATGGATGGATGGGTGGGTAGACAGACTGAGGGAGATAGATAGCAAATATTGTGCTAATCCCATTCTTCCTTCATAGCAGGGAAAGGAATTTAATGTTTTTGTTTTGTTTGTTTGTTTAATTGTTTAATTATTTATGCATGCATGGATGCATGGGTGCATGGATGCATGCTGCGTCAGGTCTTAGTTGTGGCATGCTGGATCTTTTAGTTGCAGCACGTGGACTTCTTATTTGCAGCATGCGACTCTTACTTGCGGCATGCAAACTCTTAGTTTAGGCACGCATGCAGGATCTAGTTCCCTGACCAGGGATCGAACCCGGGCCCCCTGCATTGGGAGCACGGAGTCTTACCCACTGGACCACCAGGGAAGTCCCAGGAATTTAATGTTTATGAAGGGATTAGTATGTGCTCAGGCAGCTTACATGCATCCTCCCACCTGACCGTTTGGGGCTGTGTTTATACCCGTGTGTGTTCATGCCATGGAGCTTGAGGGAATGCTTTTCAAAGAGGCTGGTGTATTTGTTTTTTCCTCTCGGAAGCAAAGCCAGGTGGTAGTAGCTCATTCCCACAGGATGGGGTCACTGGAGAAGGGCCAGCAGACCCGAATCACCGTAGAGCTGAGTGCAGAGTGCCTAGCCCGTCACCAAAGACATGTGGGTTCTATGCGGCTGCGGGGTCGGGGGAGGCGGGGTGGGGGGCTGAGGTTCGCAGTGACCAGTCACCTGTCAGAGTGCAGAGGCGTTTCTAAGCTAGGAAGGGAGTTGCTGCAGTGCCCTCCACAATTTCTCTTAAGCAAGCAGTGGTCTGTCTTGTGAGGACGGCATACTTGTTCTCTGTCCAAAGTCTTCGGAGTTATCATTCCCACAGAGGGAGTCACAGTGAGGTGCGCTCTGTTTGCATGGGGGAGCCCTTGCCCGCCCCCAGCCCTGTAGAGATGTGCAATGAGAAGAGGATGGGACAGTGGGTTTCTTGGTCCCCTTTCTGTCACTGACGAGGGTTCTTAGCCTCCTAATCAAAAGAAATTGATAAAAGGCCAGACAAGAAATTCAGGCAAGGCTTTACTGGGGCCCCGCTGCAGCAGAGGGGAGTGGGAACGAACAACAGGTGCCCTTGCTAGCTCCCTGATGGGGGCTGAGCCTGTTCCTTATATGGGGCGAGGGTAGGTGGTGTGTCCAGAATTCGGGCCAGAGGGGTGGCTTAGGTGGTGGTGAGTGCAGGGGGCACGCACAGTACCCTGCGTTTGCTCCTGATCCCTGCTTTTGCTCCCCGCTCTTCAGAAGTGGCAGTTGGGTTTTCGGTCTTTTTGTATCTTGCTGTCCCTAAATTGCCCCAACTGTGCACGCATGCAGTTACTTTTTTAGTCCCTTATAGTTTCTTTGTATTTTGTTGCTTGAGGAGACGTTTGTCCAGGTGCAAGCACTGCGGCAAAGGGTCCCAGGTCCCAGGTCCCAGCCTGTCTCATTTCCTGAGGGATTTTGGAGAATGAAGCAGTTTCTCAATTGTTAGAACTATTTCTATTAGTTAGAAGTAATCTGTGTTTTAGGGCCCCCCCCCACTCTTTTTTAGTGACTAAATTTTAAAACTCTTAAAGGTATCCAGCTCAACTCCTCCATCCTTCCTTCCAAAAATATTAATTATGCACCTGCTGGGTGTGAGGCCCTGTGCCCCAGGGGATGCAGAGATGCCCACCCAGCGGGTCTCCGCTCTGTCAGCACCAGCGGAGCAGGACACTGCAGCCCGAGCGTCCGGCTGAGGAGAATTCCGGGCGGGCCCCAGCCAGCCTCCTCCAAGGCATCTGAGATGATGGGCTTGGGCATTGTGGGTGGGTTCAAAGTATGGCATTCAGTCTGGGTCTGAGGGCAGGGTATTCCGGTCATCAGCTGTGTCCTTGAAGGAAAGAGCAGGAAGGAGAGACTTCCAAAGGCTATGGCAGTTAAGTTTTTCAAATAAGAATCCCTTTTGTACAGAGCTTCTTAATAAGCTCCTGGCAGGGCCGCTATCAGACCATCCTGCCAATAAAGAGGAAAGAGAGAAAAGGTAAACAGCACTCACATTCCAGCAACCGCCTGCGACTCCCACGTGATTGGCTGATTGTTTCCTACAGTTCTAATTAAATGCTTAGCCTCAGGGAACGCACATAGACATCCGAACCCAATTCCGAATACAAATTCAGAATTGTAACTGAAATGCCTCTGTTTAAATCAGTCTAGTTTTAATGCAAACCAAATCAATTAGCTGTCCCTCTAATATTTACTCTACCTAGTCGTTCCAGTGAAATATTGGGTAAAATTAGCTATTTTACAAAAGTGTTTAGTGTTACCTTGTCCTGCAGCACCAGGACATTTTCCCACACGAGCAAATCATTTTTGTGTCACCTTCTCGATTGGAGAGTTGTGTAATTAATATTATTGAGAAAGGGAAAGATGATTTAATATTATTCAGAGTCATGGGAATGCAGTTGCCATCGTGTTTGAATGACCAAACTGGAGATGAATGTTATAGGGTTTAGGATAAAGCTCAATCGAATGCAGATGGTATTTTATTTTAATTAGCTCCAGTCCCTATTGTATAAAATTGCTTTGATAAGTGATGGAATTTACAATCCACCCCTACTTCGTGTGAAAGCTGATAGAGTGTACATTTGTGGAACGAAATGGAAACAACACACGAGCGGGAGGGAAGATTTAAGACTTCAGCCACACGTGCACACACATTTATTAAGCATCTCTTTGCTCCGATCTCGTACCAGCATCGTGCGGTTGTTTTCCTTCCGTTCTTAATCACCTTTACTTGATGTTTTTCACCACCTTTGGAAAGGGCCATTTTGCTCGAAGGGGTTTGTGGACCAGCCCTCTCCTTCGGAGAACAGCCCAACTGTTCTCAGGGTGCAGTATCAGTCACTGGGTTTTTCCAAGGGCTGTCATTTAAGCCAACTGAGGGCATTTGTTTTTAACTTGTTCTTTTGCCAAAAGTCGGGAGAAGGGTGGATGTTACTGAAGCACCAGCCAATAGCTGTAAGGGCTCCCAAATTTTTAAAAAATTACTTGTTCTGATTACGTTCCAAGCTGGCTTATAGTTCGACATTGCTGCTGCATCTTCCAGCCCTTACATTTTAGAATGATGACTCTGGTTCAGCCCTTCCCTTGCGTGCTCAGCCAGATGGATGACGGAAATGGGAGGATAAAGATGTTATTAGGGGGGCCCTCGGTGGCTCCTTCCGGGGTGGTGGGAGGCTTCGGGTTGACGCTTTGTTTCAGTCCTTCAACGCTCAGGAGCTGGAAACTGATTTCCAGGGCTGGAGTGGGCATTCTGTTTTGTAGGATGGGACTTTGCCCCAGAGAGTAATCAGAGCTCAGGTTTTTTTTTTCCAGCAGTGATGCAACGTTTAAGCAGATCTTTCCATTAACCACAGAGGGAATTTTATCTGACAGTCTTGTGTGCTAGAGCCATTTGGAGTGCAAACAAACAAAAAGTTCTTGGCAAATACCAGCACATAGACAGGAAGTGACCACATTGATCTGGGGGTTGATGAACTGCAAGATGGGCTGGGGGGAGGGTGGGCTGCCACACGGGGCCCGACAGGTTCACCCGCGTGGGGACAGCAGGGCTTCAGCTGTCTCTTCACATTTCAGCACAGCCCTGCTGGGTCTAGTGAACTGGACGCTACCAGTTGGTAAGCAGTTAGAATTTTCAAATAGGCTTTAAAAGATGGTGCTTTATGATTTC